AATTTTTTATTGTTAGTGAATGGCTACCTCCAGTTCCATAGACACGTTGTCTTTCTCTCTCTTCCATATCCATATCACAACAAAAGTTGAAGCGTAAGGTATGCAGTTTAGATCCAAATGCTTCATTAAATTCAGTAAATTTATTCATGAAGTCATACAGATTCTGGAATTGAATCATCCGATCAAAAATAAGAGTTCTTATGTAGCCTCCAATTTTTTGTAAACAGAATGGTACTCGTGTATTGTCTAATACTTGCTGTAAAAGATAATAATACTTCATGTAATAAGTCATTTAAGTACACACTCATGAAATATTTCAATAATTTCAAATCATGATAGTCTGGATTGCTGTAAAATTACTACTTCTTAAGTAATGTTCAGAAAAAAAAAGTAGTCAGAGAAAATTATGTTATGTAACGTATTTCAATACCTGCCATCCTAAAAAGTAGTTGTACCTCCGTCTTGTTAGTGTTGTATCAGTTACTAAAAATGTTGACCATGTATTTGGGAGATAAAAAGCTCCTATATACCAATTACGACATACTTGTGAAGCTGCGTATCGCTCTTTTATGTCTAGATAAGTGAAAACTTGTTCTAGAATAAGGTTTGGAAGGTCTGACCACTGACTATATGGCTGACCTGAAACAAAAGCAGAATTTAACATTCTTTTTACAAGAAGAATAACACAAAACATTTAATGAATGTATGCAGATTAAGGAGATAGTCATTACAAAATAATATGCTGTAACATTGTAAACAAATCACATAAAAAGCAAACCAGGAGAACAGAGCTAAAAACAGCAAGCTTTATAAAATTGGCTCTGGTCCAAACTGGCAGGTCAGTACAAATGCATCGCTTCAGAGTTTCTTGATGTGATGCCTGCAAATAATTTTCTATTGATATAGGAATGTATCTGGCTAATAGGCAGAAGGAATATCTGCTACCTATTAAAAGTCTAATTGTCACTAGCTATTATTGTGAAATTTGCCACTGCCTCTCCAAAAGCAAGTATACACATCTATTGTCCCAGAGAGTCACAAATACAAATAAATCAAAAATTTTTTAATATTATACTGTGGTACAAGCATTTAGAATCATCAGTGTCTTTACGTGTGTGATTTAGAGGGGATAAGGGACAAAGTTCTATTAACCTGAGCCGGTAAAACAAAACCACACCGCTAATATGAACTTAAATTACGTACCATCCTCGTTCAAGTCAACTCCGTTGACTTCTAACGGATTGACGTAGTACTTAGGGCAGTCAGACACAGTTGTCATTTTGCGAAAGAACTTTTTCCAGCTGTGGAGAAATCCAAACGATAAAGAATAAACTCAGTCAGTTGCACAGAATATCAAAGAAATGTCTTCAATAACTTGCAACACACAGAACACCGACCAGAACAGAAAACGTTTGTTTTGCCTGCCAAATTTAGCATCCATGGTCACAAACTTCTGTAATAAAAGGAAACAACCGTTCTCAAAAAAGGAAACTTTTAATTACTGCCTTGTGAGCAAAATTTATACAAATAACTATTAAAATTAATAAAACCATGGTACATGTGGCGTATCGTTAACATTTATTCGAAAAGTTCGTGCCGAGGGCCGAGGCTAGATCAGGTACGGTTTGATGCACTGCGTTATTGCCCCTCCTCGCCTCCTCGCCGGCCGGCGGCACTTACAAGGGGGACGCAAAGAGACTCTCTCCCCCCCCCCGGCCGGCGGAGCGCGAGAGTTGAAGAGATTGAAGTATGTCCAAAATCTCCAAAGTTACAGTCAGCTGATCGTTGGTTGACTAAGTTTTATTGTATTGTACTCAAAATTTTTTTTATAAAGCTGTCAAGTGCAAGTGGTGAGTGTCCATCATTTAAATAGATAATGTAGTTTTGTGCATGCAATTTACATACCATCCATATAACCTAATATATTCTGTTATTTCTCAATAAGCACCTGTTAAGTAAATGGAAAAGTAGACCTGAGATCTGGGATCAACTGTTTCATTTTAAAAAATCACTAACTTTTATCAATATTGATCTCACTATGGCTGCAGTAGTTGCAGACATGTCTTCGGATACTCTCTCATCCCTACACGAACTGTCAGTGGTAAGAGAGGAAATTTGAGAGGAATTGATAAGATTAACTAATTACAAACAAGTTTGGTTATTAAATGGCTATTTTTTATTTTTTTTTAGGAGCTCACATCACTTGGCTTGAAACCTTCGATAAACCATACTTCTAGTAGCCCAGTAGAATTATGTGAAGGACTTCTGAATTCAGCCTGGATGCTTGTCAACTTGATCCACAGCAGATCAATGGGTCTAAACAACAGCTCTCAAACATCATCTGAAAGAGAGTGTTTTTTACGCTCAGAAAACCAATCATTGGAGGTAGTTTTCTATTCCAAGGTTCTCTCATGTAGTTTATGTAGTAATTTACTAATTTCTGTTATCTCGGTTATCACTTCAGGTGAAATTAGAGTCATTAAAGAAAGATGTGGCTTCTAAAGATGAAATGCTTGCTAAAGAAGTTAATAATGTTTATAAACTTCAAGGAGAGATAAAAACTCAAAACCTTCAAATCCAGAAGCAAAAGCATGTGGTAAGTGGTAATATACTGAAACAAATTTCTTCCTTATTACATAAACAAATTTTTTGAAAGTGAACTTTTTCTTTGTAGATAACCCAGCTCACTGATAAATTGCGAAGTCACGAGAAAGACTTTCAACATGAAGTGTTGAGACTGGAGGCACAATGTGAACAACTCAGAGAAATGGTCCGCAAGTCTCTCGGCATGGGTGAGTTCTTATTTTGAGTACAGTCTTGATATTGTGAACTTTTACATTAATTACCATTACCTATTCTAAGGTTCACGGCCAATACTAGGAGGAACAGTTGAAGATAAGCTCGCAACACTAAATGTCTCAGATATGTAAGTTTCAAATTAATAATTAGACTGCATTGAGTTTCCAAACTATCCAACCTATTCTGTTGCAGATCGACAGAGAATCATGATAGACTGATAACAACTCTTAATAGATTAAAATCCTCTAATTCTGGCTTGATACAAGAAAATCTTACACTAAGGGATGCACTGCAACTGCTCCACCAGGATATTCAACAAGTTTTAGGATTATCAAAGGTACTTGAGAAAAGAATGCTGCCTGCTTCTTTCCAGAATATCATTACTTTTTTCCTCCCCTCCAGCACTCTTCAGCTACATCCAGCAATTTGGCTTTGGAAGCATTTCGGCTTCCAGTGGAATTTAGTTTGAAACAATTAAAGGAATTACGGCAGGATCAAATAAAAATGTTAAATGAAATAATAGCTTGTAAGAATCAATAAAAGTGAACTTCAAATGATTACAGGCATATTGACATTCCTTGATACCAGGTCCAGGACAAATAAAGAATATAATTTGTGCTGCTTTAAAACTTTATTATTAAAGAGCACAACAGTGGAACAACCTTACTTAAGAGGAATAAAACGAGAACTGTGGGTGGCACCAATACCGGGTCTACCGTGCTTGACAGGCTTGTAGGTAACACTGAACTCTCCCAGGTAGTGACCAATCATCTCAGGCTGAAACCAGAAAAGACTTGAGGTTAGCAACATCAACAGACTTCAGTTAAAAGAAAAGACAAATCAATGCTTACCTTAATTTCAACAAGGTTGAAGGTTTTTCCGTTGTACACACCAACAATGGAACCAACCATTTCAGGGACAATGATCATGTTTCGGAGGTGTGTCTTGACAACATCAGGCTTTTCGTTAGGCTGAGCTTCTTTCTTGGCCTTGCGCAGTTTCTTCACAAGAGCCATTGGTTTGCGCTTCAGACCACGAGTGAACCTCCTCCTAGCACGGGAGTGCATCAACTCCATCAGCTGTTCACTGCAAGCAAATGAATATAAACATTCTTGCTTAATTAAAATCACAGGGGGAAAAGATGTGACATCCAAATTCTCTTCGAAAATCCAAAGAAATCTTACGCTGGCATGTCCAGGAGCTGGTCCAGGTCGACACCTCGGAAGGTGAACTTCCTGAAGGTCCTCTTCTTCTTCTGCGCTTCTTCAACCTGGAGAAATACACACAACAAATTGGTGAAAGACTAAACTTAACGAGTCATATCAGAAAGTAAAGTGTAAACTACCCGGCAACAAACATGGGGGAACCTAACCTAATCGAACTGGTAAACATGATAGATTGCCGCATACTCAACGGTTCACACATGAGACAAATACGATGGAAGTGAACAGAAAATTAAATAATACGACTAGTAAAGTTCAAAACAATTTGAAGGTGCGACTGCATCATGATAAAACAGCAATTACTAACCACATCCCTGTGGGTTGCGGGGGCACAGTATAGAAAGTTCCACGTTCATCAAATACTTAGAAACAAACTATACGTGCGGAACAGTGAAAGGGGGCACGAGAGTTTGAAAAAGCCAAGTGGACCAAGTTAAAATCCAATGATGTTGGAGATATAAACGGAAAATATAAGTTTTACCTCAGCCATGATTCTGATGTGTCGGTGCGTCCTACGTAGAGAAACTGAAGACTGATCGAGGGTTTCCGGTTCCGAGCCCAGCTAATTTCAGTGTTACCAGTGTTTAAAGCTGCAACGGCTGCAACTAAAAATTATCTAGAATTCCTCGGTGGTATCCCTCCGCTGTTTTCTTTTCATTATAAATTTATATTTATTAGTTTCTTGATGGATGAGTCCGAAAATATTTCATTCAGCATGAAAGTAAGGTCCTTGCGTTTAACAATACTTCGCGCAGGAGTTGGTAGAACATTAGTGAGTCTCGAGAGGTCGATCTACCAATTCTGTAAATATCCTCAATAAGTGAATCGTAAATCCTGCAAATAAGGCATCAAGAGATGGGGGAATTTCCAATTTCCCATTCCCCACGCAATTCCTTCAGACGACCAGAGTACGATCTCGATCTAGATGGTGAAAAAATTGAAAACCGTAGTATGGATGGTATGGATATTTCAACGACTGAACAAGTTACCAAGTTCCTTTAAAATACAAACAAAGATTAGAGAGGAAACTTGCTTCCTCCTCTTTGAATTGTTTTCTTGTTCAAACCAGCAGCTGACCAGCTTCTGGGGCCTCTGGACCAAGCTTTTCAAATGAGTAAGATTTTTGAGATTTTGGTTAACAGTCAAAAGGTTTCTTTATCTTTCAAATACAGAGAAGGATGAAGCATCTCCAAGTATGCTAATACCAGACACAGAGTCAAAGGGGTGAAACAAGAAGTGGACCTTTTGGTGAAGATCAAAATACGGAATCAGAGGTATACACATCAAATATCACTTTAATATAGAGCATTAGTTCAATAACTATAAAGTAAAGGCTCATTATAAGCCTGAGGTACTCACTGACAATACACAAAATACATTCCAAATGAAAAAATAATGGTGTCGGACATTATTTTGAGACTTGTTTGACACACAATACTTTGGTACAAAACCCCACGCACACTCAAACAAGACAAAATAGTATTAAAATGGCCCAAAATAGATAGATAAAAATACAAGTAGATGAGATTCAACAAAATAAAACATTGTGTAAACCAAATAAAATAACACTCATCAGAACCAGGAAAATAAGACAGCTCATGGAATACATAATAGCAAACAGGTAAAAATCCTTGCAAAAGTACAAAATTCTTGTTGCAACAGTGACACTGAAATACGAAGAAACCTGAGACTATAGCTGACCATGAATTATAGAAGAAAAGTCACCCCTTAAAAGTACGAGATCAGGAACCATTGTGGCTCAGATGCAAAAGAAATCAGTTAGGAGCCATATTGGGTTCTAGGGGTACTGATATAGGAATATCACCGACTAGTGTTGCTTTAGTTAAAATACTACTCTGAGCTGCATTAATATCAGTCAAAGGTTGTGTAATGACTGCGGAACTCCCAGATTGATGACTGCTCTTATTTTCGCTAAATAGACTTATCACATACAACACAAGGTTGTTCAAAAATCCTGCAAAGATAGAGATAGGATTAGATTGATATAACATTAATATTATTGTTTTTACACCCCTTATGAATATGGCCATACCTGAGCAAACATAAAGTCCACATATCATAGATGAAAGCCTAGTGAGGAATTGTCCAACAGAATCTCTTTCCTGAATAACATGTACCTTCAAAGCACTCATATCATACTTAAAAAATATTCCAGCAACGCCATGTGAACCTGAAAGCAAATGACGAAAGTTAAAGGTATTGACAACACTGATTTTTTTTTTTTTAAATGAGGAGAAAGCACTAACCATTTCGGTGGTCTATAGGCCGATCATGATCCTTGACAGAATATTGATATGTTTGCATTTTGCTGAAAAATGTATCGACATCTGTGGGAACTACTTGAATAAAATACTGATACAGCATTGCAGCTGAAAAATAGAACTTTATTACTATTGATTAAATACTCTAAGGACTTTTGTCACATACCAGTACAGTTGCCTAAAATTATATCTTACATTTGTCTGTAATTTTTTCATCACCTTCCATGGGATGGATTATGCCAGGAGAAGGCTCCCCAAATGAAAATTTATGAATTCTGTGGGAAAAGTTCATCGCACGATCTGTCATGAACGGCGAAAGATGAACATGTCCAACTGGCAAAGCCAATGGTTTGCCGGCACTCACATGCAAATTACCAGCTACCTTATTTAGTGTGAGACTCCCATAAATTCTACAAGCATCTGTAGGCCATTTGGGTTTATCCTTCCTGAAAGATATGAATGATATTCTTGAGTGTGCATGTTTTAGGTAAATTGTGAAACAAGAAGGCTTCTGCAAACATACCTTGGTGGTAAAGTTCCAAACATTGCAGCTTGTCCAGATTTCCACAAAAGAATTTGAAGGGCATGAAATTCCTCCCTCAAATAGGAATTTAGAGAGCGCATGGTATCAAAATGGGTGCGCTGCTCTCTGTTAAGCTCCCACCAAGTGTCTTCTTGTTCCAAATTCCCAAACTTAAAAATATTCTGATTTGTTGAGTCTACAATATCAGCACCAATGACTGTAATCAAAATCTCGTATAGAATACAGAAAGACACATAAGAATGTAGGAGTAATAACAGTAAAAAGTTGGTTGGATGCCTACAATTGCACGGAGTGGCAACAGTCATATCAATATTAATTTTTAACTTTGCATCAAAATCAGTATCAGGAGTGAACTTGAATAGAAATCTTGTGTCGAGCCAGTATCTAGTTTCAGAGTACACCAACCAAAGGATGGCTAGCCAACAGCAAACTGACACTGTAAGAAGAAAACAAAGTGAGGATGACATGAACAAGTGATTTAATCTTCTTTTTAAAAATATACGGGTTTTTATTAGAAGAAAAGTTGCAAATACCTGTACCACCAATAGGACTGGCCTCGACATATGAGTCGGGCACCTTTGGGAAAGCGTCCAATTCTCTAACAGTTTTAAGGGATACAACCCTCCTAATCCTTTGTCGCAACATTCTAAAATTCTTTCTGCTGGTCTGGCCAAACAAACAATACAAAATATTTCTTGTTCCAGCCCTTAACACTCAAGATACCACATCCTTAAATACGTGGAATGGAAGAGAAACATTATTTTTCAAATGGACTGTATGAGTTAGACTTTAAAATCCATGTTAAGACCCTTTGCAAGTCATACAGACGAAAACTTTGAACACGTCAAAATTGACGGTAAACATAACCTGCAACCGGTGAAAGAGCGAAACGAATGAAGTCCCCACCCCACCCTTCCCCTACCTTCACCCCCTGCGCCCGTACAGTGTGAATAGGTGTTTTTGTCGTTGTTAGCACGACAGCCAGAGTCAGACAATAACAATAAGTACATAGGAGGTTATGTTTTCCTTTGCTAATTGAGTATTTTGGCAATAATATGTAAAACATACACCAGACAGCTGTTAAAATTTACTGGATTCCGTTAAAGTTTTGTCGGTAAGTAATAAAGCTTTTTATTTTTTCTATTGCTACCCTCATAAAACATTTCTTAATTACCATTTTTTTAAAATTTCAGCAGTTCTCGTCATGACCAAAAGATGCATTGTCTGTCAGTGTTCAAGAAATCTGCGATTCCACGAACTTCCTAGTGACGCCACCCTGAGGGAGCAATGGCTTGCCATTGTACCCAGTGATGAAGTGTTTGGAGAAAACCCAAAAGTATGTGAGCTTCATTTTGATCCCTCTAATTATGAGCCACACTGTAAAAGAAGAATTTTAAAGCGGGATGTTGTTCCATTAGTTATTCCTCGTCAAGAGCTAGAAGCTGCAGCTGCGCTAAAAGAATCTGCGCTCAAAGAAGAAGTGGCGCTTAAGAAAGCTGCACTGCAAAAAGTTGCTCTGAAAGAACTTGATCTGCAGACTGTAGAGGGTAATTCAGATGTATCTGTGGATGGCCCCAGTTGTAGTATTCAAGAGAAATCCTTAGGTCTCAAGAAACTCAAATCCCAGCTTCATAAAGTTGGGCTCAAAATACAGACTCCAAAAACAGTTGGTAAAGTAACAAGAAAATTTGAAATTCTTAAAGCACAACTCGGACATCTGAAAGAGGATAATAGGGAAAAAACAAGTAAAATCAAGTCTTTATGCTCTGAACTGAAGGAGCTAAAATCTCTCTCTTTTCGTCAAGCATCTGAAGTTCGAAATAGAGATAAATCCCTTCGCCAAATGCAAGCTAAAGTTAGGCAGTTAGAAAGGCTTGTTAATGCAAAAGATCTAGGAACTAGTAATGTCAAAGAAAAAATTGAGAAGGAGAAAAGGGAGAAAGAGGAGCAATTGAAGAAAATACGCAATCTAAAAGATCAAGTTGAATTATTGTCCACTGAGAGAAAGGAAATGGAACAAATTTGTTACTATAAAAACATAGAGGAAATGATACTAAATATGGACACTGATAGAAAGGCTGCTTTCATTTTAGATCAAATTAAAATGTACAACATGAAAGTTCCTAGATATTCAGATTCAACTCTCCAAGAATGCATTATTTGGGAAGACACTGATCCAAGAGGTTATCAATTTGTGCGGGAAAGTGAACTGTTAACCCTACCGTCCCAAAATACTATGAAAAAGCACTTAGGACCTATGGATTTGGAAATAAATTTAAATAAAACCTTTAATTTTCAATCAAACAAACCTCCAGATGTTGCTATCTAAGCAGTTGTTTAATTGTATAAGCTACTATGAATATTTGCTCAAAATGAACCCTTTGTTTTCTGTCTAAATTTATTGTCTAAGTCTCATTACTAAATAGCATTTGGTATAATTAGTCTTTAAATAAACAGTCTTTTTTTTTTCTATCATGTAATCTGTTCCATTAGTCACCTTTTGATATTGTTGAGTTACAACTAGTTACAATCATGTTATTTTTCATATTTTTTTTTTTTGTGCAATGCATTGCCATTTGTTCCCGTTATCTTATTATTAATGTCTATCATGATGAATAAAATTATTTGTTTTTGTTGCCTCATCTCAGTCTTTTTTTGAACAAGGATAAAAGGGCCAGTAGTAATGGCAAAGCAAGACCTGGCCTAGCTGGCCCACCTATGAACCGAACCGGTTGGAGGGAGCCAATGTCTTTGAAAGTGTCCCTTCCCTACCGCCCGCCCGGGCGACAGACAAAAATGTTCCAGCTATGTTCCAGGGAGGGAAGTGTGGCTGGAGAACAGCCAGAGTAGTACAGGACGGTCCCACAAGAGAGCGCCACTACCCGCGCTGCCGCAGCTTTCGAAAGTGCAGCTCGCACCGGCCGGCGAAAAAAAGGAGGG